TGCACTACCTCTACCTGGCGTCCTTCACCTGGATGCTTCTGGAGGGCCTGCACCTGTTCCTCACTGCGCGCAACCTGACGGTGGTCAACTACTCCAGCATAAATAAATTCATGAAGTGGATGATGTACCCAGCTGGCTACGGTGTCCCTGCTGTCATCGTGGCCATTTCAGCAGCATCCAGGCCTCACCTGTATGGGACACCTGACCGGTGAGCTTCCCTGTTCCCTGAGCCACAGACAGCTCCTTCTGGGGAACACTGTCACCATGGCAGTTGGATCCACCTACCCAAGGCCCTCTGCACTCGTCTCTGTGCTAGACTTCACCCAGCTTCTGGTGAGAGAGAGCAAGATGGCAGCAAGGGTTGGGAAGGTTCTGGAAGAGAGAATTTTGCAGTTAAATCTCAAAGCCTTTGAGCAATCAGAGGTTTGCTTGTCATCGGCTGGCTGGCAGGGGAACTGGAAAAGTTCTCGGCTGGGAAAAGTGTCACTTCACGTTCACGTCTGCGTACTTTCTCTGATCTCTCTCTCTCTCTCTCTCTGTTCTTCTTCTCTCTTGTGCACAGCTGCTGGCTCCAGCTGGACAAGGGGTTCATCTGGGGATTTCTTGGCCCAGTCTGTGCCATTGTCTGTGTGAGTATGCATGTCCTCCCCTATGTTCCTGACTCAAGAAAGGACACTGGAAGTGCTAGGTATAAAATAGTACAGGGGAGCTGGGCATGGTGGTGCATACCCATAATCCCAGCACTGGGAACACTGAGGCAGGAGGGTCACAAGTTTGAACCCTGTTTAAAAAAAAAAGGTAATACAAGGGGCATGTATTTTTGTTCTGGGATTTGATATTCCATCTGCTACCAATTCAATACCATCAGCATGGAGGCAGGACACATGTGCAATGAAAAGGAGACACCATACATTATTTTTTGTGGGTGGTGGTACTGGGGTTTGAACTTAGGACCTCATGCTTGCTAGACAGAAACTCTACCACTTGAGTCACTCCATCAGCCCCTTTTTCTGGTGTTTTTTTCTATTTGCTCAGGCTGGCTTTGAACCACAGTCTCCCTGATCTCTGCCTCCTGAGCAGCTGGGATTATAGACATAAGCCACTGGCACCTGGCACCCCATACATTATTTTAACTTGCAGTCTGCCTTGTCTACGTTGTTCTACAGGTGAATTTAGTACTTTTTGTCTCTGTCCTTTGGATTTTGAAAAGGAAACTTTCCTCTCTCAACAGTGACGTGTCAACCATCCAGAACACAAGGTAGGATACGACAGGTGGCACACCCCACTCCCTTTTCCTCCACCCAACCCTACTCATCTCTCCTACACATCCACACACCATCTTGAAGCTATGCCGTCCACATTTGTTCAGATCCCATTGGCTAACCTTGGTCACATGATGAGGCCCAGCTGCAAGTAGTGCTGGGAGATGTAGTTTTAAACCATATTAACACGGTGGCTGTGTGCCCCAATAGAACTCAAAGGGAGGAAGGGAAAAGCTGGCAGTTTCTGCCTCACAGTTCCACAAAACAACTGTAACTCATATTTGCTAATCCAACAGTTACTGAAAGCTTAAATTCCACAGAAACCCTAGAATTGAGTCAGGATGACTCAAAACAATGTCCAACCATCACTTAGATAATCATTTTGTACAACTCCGCTTGTGTGTAATAGGTTCAAGAAGGGAGCCAGGGACGTAGCTCAGTGGTAGAGCGCTTGCCTCACAGGTGCAAGGCCCTGGGTTTGATCCCCAGTACTGCAAAGAAAAAGGAGGCAGTGGGTTCGAGAAGTGGTTAGAAGATAGGATGGTGGCTGATGCCTGTATTCCTAGCTACTTGGGAGGCAAAAGTGGAGAGGATCAGGGTTGGAGGCCAGACCAGGCAAAAAGTTCATGAGATCCCATCTCAACCAATAAAAAGCTGGGCTTGGTGGTGCACGCCTGTTATCCCAGCTCTGTGGGAAGTGTAAATAGAAGGACCATGCCTGGACACAAAATCAAGACTCCATTCACAAGTAACAAAAAGGGATGGGTGCGTAGCTCAAGTGATAGAGTGCCTACCTAGCAAGTTTTTGCCTGGGGCTGGCCTCAGACCCATGATCCTCCTACTTACAGCCTCTGTAGCTGGGATCGCAGTCACACACCACCATACCTGGCTTATGGATTGAGAAGGGGTCTCTCCAGCTTCGTGCCTGGGCTGGTCTGGAACCACGATCCACCCGATCTCCACTCCCAAGTAGATGGGATTACAGGCGTGAGTTGCTGCATCTGGCCATGCATGATATTTCCCGGTGCTTGTTTGTAGAACAAACAAACACATACACAAAAGGGACGGGCTGTTCAAACTGTTCCTCAGTTGTCTTTTCTCACTTACAGAGTACAGACGGTCCCACACTTAAGATGCTTTCATTTAGGGTTTTTCAACGTTAGGATGATGGTAAAATGTACCCACACAACTATTCTGAAGCTTCTCTCTCTCTCTCTCTCAGTATGATAGTCAATAAATTACAAGAGAGATTCAACACTTTATTATAAAACAGGCTTTGTGTCAGATTCTTTCACCCAGCTGGAGACTGGTTATGTGCCTGTTTTGAGTGCGTTTAAACAGCTAGCCTGTTCAGTAGATTAGGTGTGTTAAGTGCACTTTTTGGTGGAACCATGGTTTGAACTGAGGGCCTCAAATTTTCTAGGGAGTCACTTAACCATTTGAGCACTCCTCCAGCCCTGAGTGCATGTTTGATTTTAGCAATACTTTCATGATTTAATCCTGAGATAAACCAAGAAACATCTCTACTGTAAAGATGAGGGAAGCCAGATATAGTGGTGCACACCTGTAATCCCAGCACTCAGGAGGCTGAGGCAGGAGGGCCACTAGTTCCAAGATGACCTGGACTATAATACAGAGAGAACCTGTCTTTAAAAAAAAAATGAGGGAACTGAATTACAGGAAGGTAAAGGGCCAGGTGCCAGTGGCTCACATCTATAATTCCAGCTATTTGAGAGGTAGAGATCAGGAGGATCACAGTTAGAGGCCAGGCCTGGCAAAAAGTTAGCAAGACCCCCATCTCAATAAACAAGCAGACATGGTGGCTCACATCTGTAATCCCAGCTATACAGGAAGCCATAGATAGAAGGATTGAAGTCTGAGGCTGGTCCTGAACAAAAAAAGCATTAGATCCTACCCCAAAAATAACTAAAACAGGAAAGGGCTGGTGGAGTGCCCACCTAGAGAGTGTGAGTTCAAACCCCAGGACCACCAAAAAAGAAGAAAGGAAAGGCTTGACAAGGTTGCACAATGACCAGGCGTCGACCTCTAGAGTCCTCACGGTTGACAGGGGCGCTGTCGGTCAGTTATAACTTCTCCCACCATCCTGTTACTCCACCAGGATGCTGACATTCAAAGCCACAGCGCAGGTCTTCATCCTGGGCTGCACGTGGTGTCTGGGCGTCCTCCAGGTGGGTCCAGCTGCCCAAATCATGGCGTACCTCTTCACCATCATCAACACCCTGCAGG